AGAGTTGAGATTAGATTTATAATTTATTTTGTTCAATCTTTGTGGGTTGTGGTCATGATGCAATTAAGTTGAAGATCCGAAAGTGTCATCTAAGGGAGGGGATCAAGCGTTAAAACAACATTCTTCAACCTCCGTATACACTTTCATGCTTAGGACAAAGGTAATGACTTAGAAACCTACAATGAACCTTTAGTTACTTTAAACTTAGGATGATTATGATGAAAATGAAATTGGAAGTAATATGTGTATGACTCCTAGGTGATTTCAAAATAAAATATTTTCTAACAAATTTTGTATTTTGAAAACATAGATTGAGTTATTATCGAACCCCTCGTGAGACACACTCTTTAGTGTTCAAGTGGACTGGTTTTTACTTGGTTTTGTACTTCAAAAATCGCTAGAGACAGAGTTATGCTTACTAGCCTTGGCTAGAGCGATCTCTTGATGACTTAGGGAATTAGAAGGTAAAAAGCCACAAGGAACGACACAGAGCTTGCTCGAGTGGTCTTTTATGGTCGCTCAAGCAGTGCTACTCCTAGACAAGATGAAAATGTGATTTTCATTTTAGTGTCAATCGTCCTATGATCACCTTACCACCCATCGAGCGATCGTTCATGAATCTAAGTTTTCTTATTTCTTAAGACTACAATTATTCCAGACCTATAAATAGGGAGAGCCTTTAACACAACTAGGTTAAACCTTTTGTGAGATTTCTAAGAGAGAAAACACTTCTTTTACCTTAAGAGCTTCTCCCACTAATCTAGATCCCTAAATCCAAAGGCTACCATTAGAGATTCTACCCAACCTCATAACATGGTGTTGAAGATCTTAATAGTGTAAACCAAACCTCTTGGTGTGTGCATATCGTGGATCATTGGCATATCCATGATTACTCGAGGCCTAGATAAGCCATGCAATGGAGAGGTCCAAGTGAAGCTACACTAAACGTTAAAGGAGGGCCTTCAACGAAAAGACAACAAATAAAGAAGCATCTAATCATGGTACTAATTAAGGTATAAGATTCGAGCACTTGTATGTTGACTTAACGAGTAGTGAATTAAGTTTGGTAAACTAAGACGGATTCCTCGCAGCTTTTTGCGAGGACTTTTCGCGTCAACAAATCACTTGTGTTTTTTGTTGTTTACTGTAGACACTTGTGATTGTGAGCACACACACGCACTATTTGTTTATTGGAATGACCATTTGAATATCCACATCAGGTTCTCTTGCCCAAAACAACAAATAAACATCGACAACTTCATTGATACAATATCATCTCTAATGCCCAAAAATTGATATACTTTCTTTTTATCCATAACCAAAATAATTTGATAAAAAATTACTAAGGCAGAAAGAAAAAAACAAGAAAGACAAAAAAAAAATAATAGAGAAAAGAAAAATCTACAACTCTTACTACTTGGTAGCTCGAATGAAAAAATCACAAAAAATGATTTCATTGAATGTTGATAGTTATAAAGAGTATACAAACAATATAAGTATAATAACTATGGGATAGTGTCTAATTTAGCTACATAATTAGATTTTTTTTTTATGTATTTTTTAAATATTTTAACGAAAACTTTCACGTGCAATGCATGTGGTGCCTTGTTAGTCAAATAAATTTACGTGCGTTTGGTACGCAGTAATGCCTTTAAGCAAGAATGGAATGAACATGAGAATTGAATGAACATAGGAATGGAATGGAATGTGTATTACCATTCCAATGTTTGACAATTAATTGAGATTAAGTCTTGAAATGGAATGCTCATTCCATTCCAAAGTTTGGAGAATATAATTTTTATTGGAATGGAATGAAATTTAATCAAAATAACTTTTTATCATCAAATTTCTAACTTATTGCATATTTCATTATAACGAGGACTTCTATAAATTTTAAAATTTGACAAATTAGATTAAATATGTCGTAAATAAAGTCATAAAGTATCACATAATGAAAAAATTCACTAAAAAATAATAAAAATTAGAAATAAACAAGAAATAAAAAAAATAGAAATGTGATGCTTTCATCAATATCCTATATAATCCTTCAGAAATGGTACTTTTTTTTTATTAAAGAAAGAAAAATTTTATTTATTAACAAAACAAATTTACAAGAAGCAAAAGTAAGGCACTAACGCCTTAAGAGAACAACCAAAGGAAAATAAGGCACAAACGCCTATCAAAACAAACAAAAACAAAACTCCAAAACCTTCAACAACCTTAGCCCTTATTATCAAACATAATCACCTTCGTCTTTTGCAAAACAGGCAACCCATTCTGATCCTCCACCAAAAGGTCCAAAACAGAAGCAACCTCACAAGGCAACCTTAAATCTACAGAGTAATCCATTGATCGCATGCACATCACAGCCTGATCTGCAAGCCTATCTGCCACTGAATTAGTTTCACGAAATACATGGGTTAATCTAAACTTTAAACTGCTCAAAAGAACTTTAATCTTCCCCAAATAACCCATATATTGCCAAGGACACTCACTGGATTCCACAAACGGCAGCATATGTAGACTAGATCATTCAAACATCTTTACAATCCACAAACAAGTGATCATAATCCTTAATATTCGCATAATTTTTTAATGTGGACAATCTTATACAAAATACACCTAATTTTCAAAATTTGACAAATACAATAAAATGTAATCATTAACCAAATAACCTTTTTCATGAAAAACATAATTAAACACAAACTTAACAGATTAGAGTAACACAAGGGTTTTATAGACAAAAAAAAAACAACCAAAAAAATATGGTCAATACACAATCAAATTAAAGTGCTAATAAACAGAGTTGTACATAATTCTAATGCAAAAACAAGCAACCCCAAAAATATAGCACATACTTGTTTAGTACTTAAATAATCATGTTGTGATCGTGCAGCAATTATGGTGAATAATAAGGAATCAATCAATTAAGAAAGTAAGAGAAAATAGCACAGAGATTTACGTGGTTTAACAATGTGCCTATATCCACAGGAGCGAGCGGCCGTTCTTTTTAATTATTCAAAGTAGGGTTACATCNAACAATGTGTCTATATCCACAGGAGCGAGCGGCCGTTCTTTTTAATTATTCAAAGTAGGGTTACATCTTAAGTATTTATATAACCTTAGTATGGATTTAAGTATCAATCATCTCCGCTATGTTCTGCTTCGCTCCACTCCGCTACGCTTCGCCCACTCCGACATCTGCCTCATTGCCATTGTGCACATAACAAATATGAGTCACACATACTCTAACAAACCATAATGTGTATATTAATATACACAACAAAGTACAATGAGACACACAGATTGAGAACTTCATCACATATCACATATGAGAGATTAATAAATTCATTTCATCATAACCTAAACTCGGTTATTGGCATAAATTATAAAATCTAGCTTTCTGGTCTAAAACCAAAAAGGGATGAAGTTATAAAAAAAAACTACACATTACGATTTACTCAAAAAATCAGCAAACACATAATACGAAGCTAATAAATCAGTACTTAAGAGTGAGAAAAATCTCAGTAATTTCATAAAAAATTCAAAACAATCAGTTACAACGGTCTAAATCTGCAGCAATCAAATATTCCCAGCTTGATTTTCATAAATCCCCAACCAGAAGAAACCATTTGGGCAATTTGCCATGTGATATACTCTTACTCGCAATCAGATCCGATCAGTCAACACATAAAGAGTAGCGAATCAGAAAGAAACGGAGAAAAATCAACATTATACAATAGAATTGAAGAGAGATAGCATACCCGTCGAGAGATGCAAAATGCATAGAAGATGAGAATTAAGGCGAATAGGAAGATGACAAGGTATTTTGGCTGAAACAACACTGAGATCTGCTGAGAGAGAGAGAGAGAGGAAACCAGATGAGACGCGAGATAGCAAAGAGCGATCGGAGTTTTTTTCCAGATGGATTGGGCCATTACTGGATGGATTGGGGCATTACCGAGTGGATTGGTAATGAAGAATACCATGTTTCATTTGGTAATGCCTAATCCCATAATTTGTGGGATTAAGTATTCCTTTGGAATGAGAATGAATTTTAAATCTTTCAAACCAAACATTGGAATAGGCATTCCCATGGAATGTTCATTCCATTCCTAAGGCCTAATACCATATACCAAACATAGCGTTAGAGTTATAACTTACACTCTAATACAATCATTATATAGTTATTACTCTAAAATCTACGCATCAATCCAAAATAAGAAATTATTATATTTTGGCTTGGGGTTCATGTGAGCTTTGATATGTCCACATTTCTTTCTTTTTTTATTTTTGTTATTTTTTGATTCAATAGATAATAAGAGTGTCTGAGTTATTTTACTCGTATCTCAACTAATTCTCTCTTGATCTAGTCAAAGGTAAGTTATTCATGACGATACTAAAATATGTCTACATTTTTTTAATTGTTTTTATTTTTTAGTTTAATGGACAAAAGTGTTTAAGTTAACTTACACGTATCTTAATTAATCTATTCTCGGCGTAGTCAAAGACAAATCATTTACGTCAAAATTAAAAAATTAAATTTGACCTGAGTCTAAAATATTTCAAAAATTCTTGAGTTTTTATAATTTATTCTTGCTANTAAGTCATTTACGTCAAAATTAAAAAATTAAATTTCACATGACCTGAGTCTAAAATATTTCAAAAATTCTTGAGTTTTTATAATTTATTCTTGCTACCGCTTCACTATTCCTTCGAGTTTATATGCCCACACCCTCCCCACTTTCTATATATACTGCCCTTGTCTGTCCCTCTCAAAACCCTAAACCTCCACAGGTCCCCAATCTTAATTATCTCACTGAGCATACTGCTTCTTGACGGTATGGACTGCTGCTTTTCTCTCTTCTGATCTATTTTTCTTGTTTATGTGTGCTCAAGTGTTGTTTGTGTATGCTCGAATGATATGTCTAATGCAAAGGTTATTTGGTTTTGATGCGTTTTCTGGTGTCCAGATTTTAAACGCTTCCACCCTTGAAGCCATGGCACTGGTAAGTTCTTCAGATCCTCTTACGTTTGTCATTTTTTCTCACTCATGAACAGGTCTATACATTGTTTATCCACCTAGGGATAGGGGGGGGTAGTATCAGTTATGGGATTGCTTATATTCAGATTCGGTTGAATGTATGAACATATTTAGAAGTGTATCTGTATGTATGTGCATCATGTGTTCTCTATGCGTTTAATTAATCGTGAGTTTTTCTTAATGTTTTATCTTTTGCTTGTTTCTATATTTGAAATCAGTTGTACGAATTGGTATGTGGTATGCGGATGTATCTATTTTCTGGCACTTTTTTTCTCTAAAATAAGCAACAAAAAGAAGACCTAGTTCAATCAAAGTAAGGATATTTGCAATGGGATTTCGACTAATTTGTTATCGGGCACGTTCCTTTGACTATTATAGTCAGCTAGTCAATCATTTTAGCGTACATGGCCTTTTGATTTAAGGCTATTGGTTAATTATAAAAACCAGATGTTATGATTTGTTATTTGGCTCAAGTTTTATTAAGTATTTAGGCTTTGTAAAACTTTTGAGGTCATCTTGATTGGATAGAACTTCAGTTCATTGGTTGTACCAGATATGGCCTTTGTGAGTTGCAATTGTCATGGGACCCATGTTGCTATGAGACTTGTATCACACAGGCAGCAGTTTGGGTACAATTGTTGTACTAAAAATTTACTTGAGAATGAGAGCATGGGACTATGGGATTAAAATTGGGAAGTGTAAGAGGGCGCAGCTGGGGTTTGTCCCTCTATGGCCAACCATCATGTTGAAGAGAACAACTAAATGATAATCATCAAAGCATTTGAAGCAGATTTCGAGTGATCAGAATTCGAATTCAATTTAAAAACTCCATATTGAATTCGATCAGATTGTCCAGCAGATTATGTTTCTATAGCCCACATCATAACCCATTAAATATTGGAAATCGATAAAATCAGACTAATGCAACTCAACAAAAGTTGAACTTTAACAAATTACATCTTAATTTCAATTCAATATCTTCAAATAGCCACTTAATTTCATAATATGTTTCCCTATATGTATATAAAAAATTAGATCGGATCACAGTCAGATTGAATTTTGTTATATCCAAGTTTGAATTTGTGACGTATAACTCAGATTCGAGTAAGAGTATCAATCCATATCGAATTAATCAAATTTAAAGTTGGATTAAATTCAAATCAAAATTTAACCTATTGGCAAACCTAATAATGAGTGATGACTGACTGTCTTCAAGTTGTCAACTGAACTTTAAGTTTTGTGAGGTTACTTGTCCTTTCCCTTTATCCATCCATGGGATTCTATTGGTCTTGATACTTGATTAATCATTGATTTTATGTCATTGGCATTTTATGGGCACTGTTCCTTGCCAATGATAATAGTTAGCCAATTGTTTTAGTGTACGTCATTTCATGGCTTTTTGATTGTCTGTTGGTTAATTATAAAAAAAATAGTTTTTTTTTTATTTGTTTGGCTTAAAATTTTATTTAGTATTTAGTCTTGGAAAAGCTTTTCAGGTCAGCTAATGATGGGTTTGAACTTCAGTTCATTGGTTGTACCAAATAGTTTCCAGCATGGTTCAAAATATCAGCCAAGTCTGATACCACTCGGCCACCACCAATCCGATAATGATACACGATACATATATAACGCGAGTCCAACTTGAATCAGTGGCGACTCGGTCATGACTTGGCAGTATCGGTGCAACTCGGGCTCGACTCATTTGCCTCGGACAAGTTATATCGATTTTGGAACCGATTTGGTGAACCCTTCTTAAATCACGAATTTCAGACCAAAAAAAAAACCCCAATGCCAAAGAGAAAGGAAGAAGAAAAGATGCCTACTAGAAAATATTTTCAACAATTTTCAAAAAAAAATCTAATTTAAAAGGATTTCTATGGAAGAAAACAGAAATCAGAGACCCAAAAGAAAAACCCATATGAATAATCAATCATTTTTCAACCTTAAAGCATCTCGGTAAACTCCAAGAAGCTTTTAAGTCTTTTAAGACTCTTTTATGACCGTCTTTCTTAATATGTTAAAATAAATTAGACATAAATTAAATAATAAGATATATATATATGATCTATGTATGAGTTTTATTTTCTTAAATGCTTAAATTGAAAACTAATTATGGATTATATTACTGATAGTACCTTTATAATTTATTTCTACTATAGTTTAATGTTGGATGATATTTTTTAGACAAATGATGCATGGATGTTATTATTTATATTTTTTAAACAAATTTCATAATTTTTTGGGTTTTTTGTATAATATTTATTGCGTATTGACCTATATCGTACCGCGACACCGCGACCGATATGTATCATTGTCCTCCGAGTCGATGGCCAATACCGGGACTTTGAACCATGGTTGCTAGCTCAATTTGGGATTTTCATGGGAGCCGTTATTGAGAGATTTGCATCACATTGGTGGTTGTTTGGGTACAATTATTGTACTGAAAATTTCCCCCTAACAATGATAGCATGAATTGAAGTGTATGGGGTTTGTATGGGCAAAATATGCTTGATTTTTATGTGTCGTGTGGTGTTAACTGTTAACTAGTTGTTAGAAACTGTCCTATATGTAAATGTTCTCTCTATATCTTTGCTTTTCAGCTGAATTGGATACATTAATATGCCACTGTTACTTTGGAATTTGCAGTCTATATTCTGAAGTTCTGGGATATGATTAATTTGTTCTATTTGAAGTCAAGATTTGGGTTAATACGTCACTATATAAGTTGAATCTTTTACTTAGTAAATTGAAACTTATTTGTACTGATTTGATAGTTGTATTTTAACGATATTTACTTTGCATAACAAATCCACCCCACTCTTTTGATGCCATAATTGATTACTTGAAGGTTCCATGCTGCATATATGTCTAAGAAGAAAACTATGTGCTAGTAGTTTTTATACTTTTTGTCTCTTCAGGGGCATTTTATATCGTTGGAACGATACAGAGAAGATAATTATGCTTCCTGCGCAAGGATGACGCGCTCAAATTGAGAAATAATAGTTTTAAAACATCAGAACAATTTCAGTACCTTCTAATAGGAGGAGAATTTCATGCCTTAAAGGATTTAACTAGGACATCAGAACATTTCTTATACCATAAATTTGTCTTTGAAATTCTGTGTGTGCATGTATTTTGTATGTATGTGTATGAATTATATCATAGACAAATTTATCCCGAGAAATGCTTATGCTTCCCTATTAGACTTGGAATAGTACTGGACTTCCCCGCTTGGGAGTGTCTGGAGATACCACTTAAAACTGACTTCTGGCGGTGATCTACCTAGCTCTGGATTGAAGTGGTTGTTGATCTGCCTTGCAGGTTCTGCATGCGGGGAGCACAAATAAAAATGCTTTCAAGGCACTCATTGCTGCAGAATATACTGGTGTTAAAGTTGAACTGGCCAAGAATTTTGAGATGGGTGTATCAAATAAGACTCCCGAGTTTCTCAAGATGAATCCTATTGGAAAGGTAGGCAGTAATTATATGGCAAAATTATTTTCTCCCTAGTCATATGACTTAATTTCTTATTTCACTTTGATTTTTTCTTTTTTATACATGTGTAGGTACCCGTGCTTCAAACACCTGATGGCCCTATATTTGAGAGTAATGCCATTGCACGCTATGGTAAGGATTTTTGTCAATTCTGTTCCTAATCATCAGAAGTTGCAATTAAAGTTTTTGTGCTAATTTTTTTATTTCTTTACTAATGTAGTTGCTCGCTTGAAAGCTGATAATTCCCTCTTTGGCTTTTCCTTGATTGATTATGTAAGACATTGGGTCTTAGTATTTCTAATTTCTAATTTATTTTTGTAGTTTTCAACTTACGATGTAATTCCTTATATACTTTTTTTCCTTTAACTGGATGCATATTTTATTGTGCCTTTAATATTGTTTCCTATACTTTGTTTTGGCAGGCTCACATTGACCAATGGATTGATTTTGCATCTTTGGAGATTGATGTCCACATTTTACGCTGGTTGTATCCACGACTTGGTTATCTTGTGTACCTTCCTCCAGTATGTCAAACTTATACCTCTATTATAGCTGTTTATTAGTAGATGTACCTGAAAGTCTTTTGATCATAAGTCAATCACTATTGTTCTCCTATTGTTCACAAAGGCTGAGGAAGCTGCAATTTCTGCATTGAAGCGAGCACTAGAAGCTTTGAACACCCATCTTGCCTCAAATACTTACCTGGTTGGACATTCTGTCACACTGGCTGATATTATTATGATATGTAACTTGGGCATAGGGTTTAGCCGGGTCTTGACCAAGAGCTTTACCTCGGCATTGCCGCACGTGGAGAGATACTTTTGGACCCTCGTTAATCAGCCAAATTTTAAGAAGATAATGGGTGAGGTAAAACAAACAGATTCTATTCCACCTGTTCCTTCAGCGAAGAAGCCTTCACAGCCAAAAGAACCTAAGGCCAAGGATGAACCAAAGGAGGCCAAGAAAGAAGCAGCTAAGCCTGAAGCTGGTGAGGAGGAAGAAGAGGCTCCCAAGCCGAAACCAAAAAATCCTCTAGATCTTTTGCCTCCTAGTAAAATGGTACTGGATGAATGGAAAAGGCTTTACTCAAACACCAAGGCAAACTTCCGTGAAGTTGCTATCAATGGTACTTTTTCCTTGTGCGTTTTTTTTTCATCGTCAATAATTGAGACTACTCTGTAAATGTGTATATTTACTATGTGTTGGTTTCCTTAGTTTATTTGCCCTTTTCACCCATCCATTTGTTATTGAGGTTCCCACAAATATCACTTTATTTGAGACTAAGGAAGTCCACTTATAGTTTGTAAATACTTATGTCATTCTCCTAGTAAAATGATACTGGATGAATGGAAAAGGCTTTACTCAAACACCAAGGCAAACTTCCGTGAAGTTGCTATCAATGGTACTTTTTCCTTTACTCGTGCGTTTTTTTTTCATCGTCAATAATTGAGACTACTCTGTAAATGTGTATATTTACTATGTGTTGGTTTCCTTAGTTTATTTGCCCTTTTCACCCATCCATTTGTTATTGAGGTTCCCACAAATATCACTTTATTTGAGACTAAGGAAGTCCACTTATAGTTTGTAAATACTTAAGTCATTCTCTTTGCATTAATTAAAAAGGAGTTGTGACAAGTGTCGCTGAAAAGTGTGCTTGTTAGAATGGAAATTGCTTTGTTTCAAAAAAGACAGGCTTTCAATTTGTTAATGGGCCTTTCCACTATGAGCTATTGAGGTGGAAAGAATAATTAAACAGCCTGGAGTAGAGTGAATAAAATCTCTCGTGGGTTGCAATACAGGGGCATAAATTTATAGACATTTTTGTTCTCGTATTTGAAAAATATTGATGACTTCTGTGTTTAAAAAATAAAACATTTTGTCTGTGTTCCAATTAAGTTGTTTATTATTTTATTCTATTGTCTTCTCTTTTCTCATCTAAAAGACGACCCTTGGTTGAAACTTGAACCAATAATCAGGAGTCTATGAATGTACTTGATAATAGCGAGACTTGGGTTTTGAGTTTGTTATTCTTTAAGAACAGATTGAATTCACTTTGCCTGAAAGCGTATACGTGAAATGGATCTTCCACTAAAAATTCATTGCACATGAAAACATAAACGTGGAGCTGTTATTCAACAAAGGCTGGTATCATGTTTAGGACATTGATCATATATACAAAGTTGATCTTCTAAAACCAGCTTATCAACTGTGTCACTTTCATTTGTTCCATTAGGTTTATCGTGTCTTATTGGCAAGGTTGCTGCTTATCATAAATATTTTTGGCCCAAGTATTCTAATGATGTCTATGACAATACAAGGTTGATGCACTAAAACCAGTTTATCACCTTTGTTACTTTCATTTGTTCCCTTAGCCTCTGGTCTTATTTGCAAGGTTGCTGCTTATCATAAATATTTTTGGTCTGTAAGTATTCTAACGATGTCTATGACAAATTTGGAGTCACAAGCATTGAATTCTTTCATTTTTTTAACGTATCAGCTAAGTGACTGTGACCCATCCACTTTTCCAGCTTCATCTGTCATCTAAGGGCCTTTTCTAGTTTCACTTAAATGACTACTTTGTTAAAAATAGTCCGTTTAAAAATTATTGAGCTTATGCATCAATATTTGAATTTTCAAAGGGAAAAGCTTGTATTCTGCACATTCCTCTTTTCTTGCTGCTGATTGGTTTTACTATAAATCAGGAAAGAAGAAAAAAAATGCTTTCTGAACAGAGTTTGGTAGTTATTGTTTCAAAATTTTTATTGAGAAAATGTCAAAGATAGCGCTCTTATCCTTGCAATCTCCAGAGTTTGGTAGTTTTTTTTTTTTAAACAGTTCTCTAGTCACGCTAGGTTTTGTTATTGGAAACAATACCCTCTGTTTTTTGGTTCGCAGGGTTCACCCTCACTCGAAATTCATAATCGTAACTTGCAGGATTCAGGATCATCTGTTTGCATGGTTGATTTTATATTGCTTTACTTAAATGGATGTCATCAATGCTCATTTGTTTGCCATCTTTCTCAACTCCCACTTTTGTACTTCGTCTGTGTACTTGGTAATTGTTCTCTACTACTACTACTCCATAACTACCTTCACGGGATTTTAAATTACAGACATAGACCTGGTATTTTCTGAAACTGGGAAGATGCAGGCTCACAGAGTTCATGCATTCTTTAAAGTTTACATTTTACAGATCGATCCCGAAAACATGCATCTGTTTTCATTCTTAAATCTTTGATCAAATTAAGTTCAGTATGCTTTAGATTGGGACTGATGGTTGTCCTTCACCTCACTTGTTTTGCAGGGTTTTGGGACATGTATGATCCCGAGGGATACTCGCTTTGGTTCTGTGATTACAAGTACAATGATGAAAACACGGTATCATTTGTGACTTTGAACAAGGTGAGTGGTTTTCTGCAACGAATGGATCTGGCACGCAAGTATGCATTTGGGAAGATGTTGGTGATTGGTTCAGAGCCCCCATACAAGGTGAAGGGATTGTGGCTTTTTCGAGGGAAAGAAATCCCTCAATTTGTGATTGATGAGTGCTATGACATGGAGCTCTATGAGTGGAAACAAGTTGACATCACGGATGAAGCTCAAAAGGAGCGTGCTAGCCAAATGATTGAGGATCAAGAACCTTTTGAGGGTGAGACTCTGTTGGATGCAAAGTGCTTCAAGTAAGTAATTAATCATCTGAGTCATACCTCAACCAAAAGGGCTCTGCCTTGTTTTGTTCTGTTAAAGTCTAGATTATCCTTCTCTTATTTGAAGCAAATACTTTTGGAAAGGCATGTTATTTACCATATGTTGTTTACAATTTTAAATGTTCCCCCTTAGTTATCTGCACTGAGGGATGCATATTTTTGTTTTCCAATATAGTTATTTCTTACCCTATGAAAACCGAGGTCAAAAAAAATGCATTCAATTGTCAGGTTTCATCTTGGTCCAAAAAGGGTTCAGGCTACAAGAAAGTTTACTTTCTAACAATTGCCCATGTTTTCAAATAGAAAGACCCAAAAAAGAAACATGATTTGGCTTGAACGAAAGCGTAAAGCCTTCATCAAGTATATTGAGATCAATTAATCCTTTAACACAATGCCTCAGACTTGTGTTGGGTTTGCATTCTCAAAGCTCTGCCATCTCAGAAACGGGTAGGGAAAAAAATCCCCCCTTTAGAGGATCCTTAATAAAATCTCAATTCTCACAAAAATCTCTATTATAGAGAGTTAACTCTTAAAAATTTATCTCCAATAGTCTCTCTATTTAGGCTAACTATAATAGAATTTAATTTGGCTATTTATATTTGGGGAGTTAAATTTACTCTTTATTTGATCATTAATGAATGATAAGACACTGATACCTTTTTCATTAAGTGAAAGATTAATTTCCTATTAGATAGAGTCGATAGAAATTGTCTAAAATAATTTCTTTATTTCAAAAAAAATTCTCTCCAAAATAAAGAGTACTATTGGAGATATAAGATAGTTGAGCTACAAAGGTTTAATACCAAAATAACTTTAAATTGCTGGTCTTTTTTAGGGAATTTATAATGACTTAAGTCTATTCCTTAAATATATTTGATGTTTACATTCTATTATTATTTGTTTAGGAAGTAGTTAAGTTCAAAGTTTTTTTGATACCAAAATGCCCTTATTTTTACGTTCAAAGGAAATTTCATCGTGAAAGCAGTTTTNAACTTTAAATTGCTGGTCTTTTTTAGGGAATTTATAATGACTTAAGTCTATTCCTTAAATATATTTGATGTTAACATTCTATTATTATTTGTTTAGGAAGTAGTTAAGTTCAAAGTTTTTTTTATACCAAAATGCCCTTATTTTTACGTTCAAAGGAAATTTCATCGTGAAAGCAGTTTTCAAACTGAAAAATCAGTTATTTTTTGATTCACGCTCAATAGAGATTTGCCAGTAAAATGTTTTCCATAAAATTTAAAATTTAAATTCAGAAGTATTTATTATTCATCTTGTTCTGCCTGTCAATAGATCCTGGTGAAAAAATCGACGATTGAAAATGGGTTTATAGCACCGACACTGGCAGTTCCATCTTGTTCTCAACTTCTGTTCTTTATATTCTTTTAAATTTTGGATGTGAATCCTCTCATGATACTTTTGCGATTCTCGGTCAATTGTTCTTTGATCACGTATCTTCTATCATGATGCATCTCAGAACCAAGTTTCAACATTTCACGAAGGACTCGCTTTCATATTTTGTTTGGTATGATGGAAAAATGAAAGGATAAAAAGTTGAAGTGATAGATAAAACATAATGTTTGATAAAGAAGACAAATAAGAAGATTGAAAAAGTGAATAAATTAAATTTTCTTTCATTTCACTAAAATCAATCTCTCCACAATTGAGAGGAAAAAATTGATGAAAAGTTAATATGTTAAAATGTATGTTATTTGTTTATATGTCATTTGATATATACATATATCATATTTATTAATTATATATTATTTATACATTAATTTCATATATAAATATACTGATAAACTATGTATTTATATTTTTTTAATAAAAAAATCAAAATTAAATTAAAAAATAATTTTTCCATCTTATCAATTACAAAAAAAGTCAATATTTCTTACTTTTCATCACTCTTACCAAACACAAATGATGGAAAAAAGGATTCCTCTCTTGAAAAAATGAAAAGTGTATCACTCACACTTTCTAACATTCCATTTTTTTCGTTTACCCTACCAAACAGATATCAATGATAAATTATCTTTAGTAAATTCACAAAATATTCGCTTGTTGTATGAGATGTAAGGTTGGATATTTTTTCTCATCCTCGACATTTTTTTTTTGAAGTGACTATGCAGATTAACATCGTTATGGTGTTGTCCAAGAATTTGTTGGCCATGGGGAGGGACGTGTTTTCCATAACGAGCCAGTTTTTCTGCACTACATTAATTTTTCTATGCAATTTTTTTATATGTGACTACTGTTTCGATGGCAAGGGTAAGTTGATTGCACTTACCCTATTTACTCATTGGCTTCTATGATTTGATTTTTTGTGGGGTTATTTTTATCCTTTAAATCTTATTTTTCACACCATTTAATTCTCTTACTTTAAACTACTAAGTTCACCCTATTTATACTTTCCCCATTAGTTACTAAACCCACCTAATCTATATTCACTAACTAAAAATTAAATTCATTCAATTTTATTTTAACTTATTATATGAGTAATGATTACAATTTGGTTTTGGTATATTAATTCGGTACAAAAATATTTCAGAAGAAGAATAAAAATTAATAAAATATTAATAATTATTTTTAAAATATTAATTTAAATTAAAATATCTCAAAATATTCCAAAGATATTAGTAAAAATATCTCAAAACATCTCGAAATAATATAAATCACATCATAATATTAAAATTTCGCTTCAATTACTATTTTTGTGTCAGTTTCTTTGACATATATTTAATAGTTTAATTAAATGGGTATAAATATGGTGAACTTAGTAATTAATAGGGTGTGTATAGATGCGGTGGGGGGTAGGGAAGAGTGAACTTGAAATCTATACATAGTAGTGCGTGAGAGTCTCCGCTAAGGAAAATGTTAGTAGTTTGAAATAAGAGAATTAAATGAGTTGGAAAAAGAGANCGGTGGGGGGTAGGGAAGAGTGAACTTGAAATCTATACATAGTAGTGCGTGAGAGTCTCTGCTAAGGAAAATGTTAGTAGTTTGAAATAAGAGAATTAAATGAGTTGGAAAAAGAGATTTAAAAAGTGGGAGTAACCCATCCTCTGATTTTTCTTAACTCATTATAGTTAATCTCAAGTAGGACTTGAACGTTGTAGCTCCCATTTTGGGTTGGCCTGAGATATTGATCAAGTTACAGGTGTTGAATAATTCTGACTAATATTTTGGTTAGTAGTTAATATTGAAGTTACTGTTTTTGTTTTATTTTTTGAAATATTAATAAATTCAATGTTACTATTTTTAGTTTTGTATGTTACTATTTCTCTCTCTCTCTCTCTCTCTCACACACACACACACACACATATATATACATACATATATATATATTAGTAATAACCTGTGCATGAAGGCACTCTATAATTCAAAACAATCTAACATTTATTATGGATCCAAAAAAATGAAGTATTGGATATGGACTCACACTAAATTGAAAGCCTAAATTACATCCTTAATACACCGCACTTTGCATACATGTTTAATAAAGTATTACAAATATAAAAATTCTCGTGAAGACAAATCTCAATGAAGAGATGGAAAAACCTAAGCTTTAATAATCAAAAACACATAAATTTATACTAAAAACACATGAAATTCATATTATAGTAAATAGATACCTAACTAGAACTAACAGTTGCACTCAAAAATATTTACTCAAAAGTCAACTTACAAGGATTTGAAAACCTGTCATTAGAAAAAAATGTCTGTGCCTGAAGACATTATGTTATATTAAACAAAAAATCACAAATTTTTAATCAAAATAATTTTTCTTTATTATTTTAAAAAATTTAGACAATCTCCCTTAAAAATAGGGCCTAAAGGAACTATCAACCATTGTTATCAGAAATGGACCAGACTGGATCGAATCGGTCGGACAGGTGAATTGGGTCCTAAACCTGTCCAGTTCACTAAAAAGATAGTTTGTACATTTGAACCATTAAAAACTCAATAAATCGGCCAGTTTTGACCAAAACTAGAGAACCTAACGATTTAATAAAACCAGCCAGTTTAAAACTTGATACATAAAAAAGTTCAAAAATCACTTTTTGGGTTGCTTCATCTCTGTCTTCTCCGATGGTTCCATCCATACGAGCAATGACCAGTGGCCAAACCAGATCCAAATTGGACTCTTCAATCATTTTCTGGAGATTAAGACGGATGCACAACCCTCGATCTCTTGTCAGTCAGCCTCTTAAGTTTTCTTCTTTTTTTTTTCTCTCTCTCTCTTCGCCAAATTGAACAAAGGAGGAGAGAGAGAGAGAGACATGGTTGCTGGTGGTTGCTTGTGTTTGTGTTTACACTCAAAAATAGCGAGATCAAAGGGTGACACATGAAAAAGATTTGTCGGTTACAAGAGAGTCTGTGAGAGTCCACAATTGTTAGACTGGTTAGAAGAATAAGAATCTTAGAATCTTGAGAGACCACAAAACGGGACATCACGAGTCAACAGTTAGAAATGATTTAGTACACATTCACGTATCTCAAGGGACAAGACCATGATCACAAGTAAATGTCAACAACGATGGATCAACAGTTGAGAGCCATATCTATAGTAGAGGATAGGCCACTGAGAAAGGATCCCACGATCAATAACAAAACTCTTCATAGAACTGGCCTGCCCTTTTTTACTTATTTCCTACTTCCGAGAAATTTTACTTTTCCTATAGCACATCACTCCGGTGATCTTTTATTGCTTTCGTTTAATGTTAAGTTCAATATTCATTTTTGCTGTTTACGATACAATGTCGTTCATACATCTCTATTTGGTGAAATTATTTAATGTCCTTGAAGTTGCAAGGCATAGAAAAGAACCTATAGGTAATCTTATGCCTCACTACATTAGCCTGAACAGTTACTGATGAGCGCATAATATTGCATATTTAATAACCTTATTACATGCATTTTGACTCAATTTTGCATTTAATTACTTAGAGTTAGTCGAATTTGAGAATAATGTGAAATTTTGATGTTACAGGTAATCATAGGATAATGATGGTTTTTGGAACCCTACAACTAAGTGTGGATGAGTGGTGAAGAGATGGACACATTAGATGAGGATTTGGAGGCTTCAAAAGTGAAAGAAATCAAGAAAACATAGTGGAACTGGTACCCAAGTGGTTAGAAGCTACTGGAATATTGGTACTAGTACCTACGCCATTTGGTACTGGTACACCGGTATTTCCCATTTTTTA